AGGGAGGGAGAGAGGAAGCAGTGGTGTGGTGATATGTTGTTGACAGAAGATAGAGAGCACAGATGGATGATTTGCAATCAAATATGCATCTCACTCCTTTGTGCTCTCTATGCTTCTGTCATCACCTACCTAGCTATCCATCCATCCATCTAGCTACCTCTCTTCCCCCCTTCAGGCTTCAGGCTTCAGGCTTCAGGCTGCACTGCACCTCCCATATTTCCTTCCTTTTAACTCATGAAAATCCAAGATTATTTCATTGCTTCCTTGGAATTGCATATATATATTGTTTTAATTTTGTTATTTTAGTTCTCTCCATAAAACTCCACAGATCGATATTCACACAAACACATACACACACACATATATATAGCTGAACAACTGTGGTTGCTCTTATGTTTTACAGGTTTGAAGTAGTGAGGCGAGCAGATCAGAGAAGGCGATGCAGCAGTTTGCAGATCAGACTCGTCTTGTTTGTGAGCGATGGCATCAAAATCCGTCTGGTGAGGTTAGGGTAATTAATCAAGTCCCTTCCTCAGCTGAGTATACATATTATGTGCAACTGACATGGAGAAATGAATATTGATGGCGTCTGTTCATGTGAAATTTATTTATTTCTCAATTGTTAATGTGTAGTCTCAATCCCTAGACATATGATCTTGGTTGAAAATCTTCACTAGCTAGCTAGGTCTCTGAAAGATACCTGAGATCCAGTGATTAAATTGGTGTCAGATATCTTGGAACCCCTAAAAGGGATATATATTTAATCTTTCATCTCTTAGCTTTACAACTATTTTTGTTTTCTCCAGTAATTAAGATGATGTCTGAAAACATTCTGATGCTATATAAATATAAATATAAAAATAAATAAATAAATAAATATATATATATATATTTTTTAATATTTAGCTGTAACTCCTAAAAGAGAAGGCTGGGGAGAAGGTATCACTTGCTTTGTAGGAGAAGAGCTGCAATCTGTCTGCATATTGATATATTTGTGCACAAACTGAGGACATGTGATACTTGTAATAAGCTGAACAAAAGAAAAATTCCTTCCTTTGCAAGAGAACTAATAATTTGAGCTGTTTGAAAGGGGGGCTGAAATTGTTGAACTCAATGTGAATGGCTACATGTTGTTTTTATACAAGAGAGATTCATTTTTTTCTTAGTTATTTTCTTCCAATTGCATTCCTGGTAGATCTAATTTTACAGAGAGCTTGCTGGAAAAAAAAAGATATATATATGGAGACAAAAGTTTGCAGATTCATATGCGTTTTCCCAGCCTTGTAGTCAATCATTCCAATAATATTCCATATTTATATATGATAGAAACTGTAGTTAATTCTTGGATTTAATTAGATATGTTTATTAATTAGTAGTTTTTTCCATGTGATTGTATTGTATCCATAGTCTATAGGTTACGACCCCTCTCACTAATATTGTTGTAAACAACCATTAATCAAGCATTGAGATCACTAGCATGCAGGGAAATAGAATAGATAACCCAGGTGTCCATATTCCTAATGATTAGAATTAATTTTAACCAAATAGTACAGAGATAGGTCTATGCACCTAGACTTTCTTGAATTTGTATGTTTCTGGCTCTAATGAAAAACAAATATTGTGTTGCCGAGCCTAGTAGCATGAGCTTGTAACTAAGCAGAGCATTAAAGTGATTGATTGCTTGATTGAAACATTCTCCGGTGAGGCATAGCGGTCTTGGGTTATTCACCTTAGCATTGGTGGGTGAAGTTGCACAAAGCACACACCCCCTACCCTTGGGGTTAGTAGGGTCCCCCAGCCACAAGGGGTGGGTAGCAAAAAATAGATATTGTGCTAGCTAGTTACTTGGATGTTTAATTCTTACTTAACATTTTATGGAATCTATCTGGTTACCTTATTGAATGTATATATATACAATAGAAGATATCAGGGAGACATCCAAAACCTTCATGCATGTGTGAGATGCGATGAACAAATTTATTTAATATATAAAATTTATTTTTGGGATAAATTTAATATATATATATATAATTAATTAATTAATTCAAAGAACAAATTGTTTAATTATGATTGAATATCTTAGACCCACCTTAGTTGTAGTTGAACTGTAATGTCTGCACAATCATGATGCCCAACCCAAACTAATAACATTGTTTGAGTGATTATACTAGCTAGTATATAGTTGATGTGATATGATATAGTATATTGCATGCATTGATTAAATGAATGAGAAATTCATAATTGATCTTATCCACCCTTAATGGAATAATTAATGTTGTTAAATGTAGTGAAGTTGTAATGTGCATTGCATATATATATATAGTAGTATAGTCAAAAGGCAAACAACCCTACTAGAGCTTCTTTCCTTATAATGCCATCCCACCACAGAAAATAGAGTGTGAATTAATTAAGTGGAGAGAGAGAGAGAGAGAGAGAGAGAGAGAGAGAGAGGCAGCATGGGATGGGATCGTGTATGGGAGGGAGCGAGCGAGCTAGTGGGTAGTGGGATCCAATTCTTACTGGGCTATGGCTTGATTATCATTAACTTGTCTTTGAAATGAAACAAGGAAAAAGAAGAAGAACGAAGAAGAATTCCTTCCTTCCACTACGCCTTAGCTATTCTACTTATCATCTCTCTCATATATTATTCAAGTGCTGTTATGATAAAACTGTACGTCTTCCAACTATGCAGCTTAGACTTTTACATGAGAGAGAGAGATATATATATAAAGAGAGAAAGAAAAAGTAAGAAAGAGAAAGTTGTGTACATCATCAAGAATTTGAAAGTGGCTGCAGTTTGATAGGCCCCCATATGTCTCTGTATTAATTAATTCATGCGCCTCCTTTGATTGGATATATAATATATAAAGGGTTGAAGTATACTTGAGATAGAGTTGGGAACTGTGTGAATTCATCATGTCTAATCATCATCTAATCTAATCATCATCATCATCATGAGAGAGAGAGAGAGAGAGAGAGTACGCAATCAAATTATGTATGTATATATATGCATTTGGAAAGTAGCTAATCTAGGCCATCTTCCAAAACCTTTCGTTTGGTAGGTTTTAGGAAGTGGATGTTTCTGAAAAGATAAATATACAAGTCATGGAGATTAGCTCTTTCTGGCCAATATGCCTGCTTGCCTAGCTAGCACACACACACACACACACACATATATATATATATATATATATATATATATATATATATATATATATATATATATTTAAAATAAAAAAATCTGGTCCTGTACCTTATATACTGTCTTTGTCTGACTGCACGTTCAGAGTGTAGTGGCTACTGGTCCCTTATGTCAGATTGATTCATTATTATCATGGGCAATGCAAATTGCAATGGCCATAGATAGACAACCCAGCCAAAGACTACATAGACTACTTTTGGAATTAATTGAAATATTTACAGCTCTTATATTTATTCAGTATCAGTACCACCGGGAACTAACAAATTTGATTACTTTCATGATTGACGGGCAATACAAGAGAATCTTGATCATAAACTGTGTAGGCGCATGCAGATTTCTCTTGTATTGCCCGTCAATCATGGTGAGGCGAGCTATAGCATTGGTATAATTAGCATAATTAGCATTAGCGTATATTTATTTGTGTTTGAGTGCTATCTAGCTCGGCAATCATGATAAGGTGAACAAGTGATGAATCATGAATAGAATAAGTCAAGAACAAGCCCACGCATGTCGGCTTTGACATTTCCAAAAGGCTTAATATAACAAAATGTTCTTAAGGTTTACGAAACTATCAGATTGCATCCTTAATTTTTTTTTTTTTTGGTCATTCGTGGTCCTCAAGGTTAATATGTGTTATAAAAATTGGTTCCCACCGTTAGATTTCGTCAAAAACTCCGTTTGTTTGCTAATGTGACATATATATATCACAAAGCATCCCTGATGTTTACGCACTTATCACAAATGGTCCTTGCGAAATTTTTTAATTTTTTAAATTTAAAATTCTTAAAATTTTGGTTTTCTTTTTAAATTTTTTTTTAAAATATATATTGTACTTTAAATACACGTGACACTATATTTTTGAAGATGTGAGCTCCACATATATGCCGCATCAACAAGCTAAAGAAGTTTTTAAAAAATAATTTAAAAATGAAAAAACCATTTATAGAAGATTTTAACCTTGAGGACCATTTATGAACCCTAAACCCGTGGTTTTTTTTTTTTTTTTTTGGGGTCTGAACCACGAGGTGGTTCTGGATGGGCCCCAATTATGGGTGGCACCTTTAAGCCTTAACCACAACCCAGACTAACCCCGCTCACACCGGGTCGGCCCGTAAGAGCAAGTCCACCCATGAAGGCAAAGGCAAGGCTAAGGCAAGGCAAGGGCTGCCACTATTCATGTGAATAGTGTCAGCCTTGCCTTAGTTGGTTCCACCCATTGAAGGCTAGGGCAAGGGCAAATACTATTCATTGTACTTTATTTTCAATTTTTTAATACTTTAAACCATTAATTAATTTTGTCAGATAATATTTTCGGTTGCCACGTGTCACTATTTATTATAAAATTATCACCTCAAATTTCAGATAACATTTTTAGATAAAATTTTCGGATAATATATTTGGTTGCCACGTGTCCATGTCAGATAAGATTTTAAGTTTTTTTTTTAAAGATTATAATCTCATATTTCAGATGAGATTTTGACCCTATAAAATTACGCCATGTGTCCCATGTCAGATAAGATTTTCAAATTTATTTAAAAAATTATAATCTCATATTTTAGATAGATTTTCACCCTCTAAAATTGCGCCACGTGTCCCATGTCAGATAAGGTTTTCAAATTTTTTTAAAAAAATCATAATGTCATATTTCAGATAAGATTTCCATCCTATAAAATTGCGCCACGTGTCATCTCTATCTTCTCAATCCTTCTATATAACTACATCATCAACTCATACATCTCACACCACATCTTCTCTTTTCCTTCAATTCTCAGATTTTACAATACATATTTTACTCTCAATGTCAAACTTGAGGAGGTTGTTGGAGAGGCAAGAGAGAGAAGAGGAAGAAATCCGGCGGAGACGTGCTGAGGAAGATCAGGAGGCCGATGAAGAAGAGGACGAAATGCTTGTAGCCTTCGCTATGCTTAATGAATCAAGGCAACACCACCGTCGTCGTGCCCATAATGTGGATAGACGCAGGCAATCTCGGGGTAAGAATCTCATGGAAGATTACTTTATCCCAAATTCCTTATATCCTGTTTCTAAGTTTCGAGAGAGATATAGAATGCAGCCACATTTGTTCCAAAAAATCATGCATGATATTTGTAATTACGACACATACTTCATTCAAAAGAATGATGCTTGTGGAGTTTTGGGTCTTCTCCCGGAGCAAAAACTTACAGCTGCTTTGCGGATGCTTGCTTATGGGGCATCTGCAGAGCAGGTGGATGAGATTGCAAGGATGGGAAAATCAACTATCCTAGAGTGCTTGGTGAGATTTTGTGATGCAGTAGAAAATCTCTACACAAGGGAGTACCTTCGCAGACCTTCTCCAAGGGACCTCCAAAGGCTTCTACAAAAAGCTGAGACTCGAGGTTTCCCAGGAATGATTGGAAGCATCGATTGCATGCATTGGCAGTGGAAGAATTGCCCAACAGCTTGGCAAGGAGATTATGGGAATCGAAAGGGCCAAAAAAGTATAATTCTGGAGGCCGTAGCTTCATTCGACACTTGGGTTTGGCATGCCTTCTTCGGAGTGGCCGGATCTCAAAATGACCTCAATGTGCTTGGTCAATCTCCAGTGTTTAATGATGTATTGCGAGGTCATTCTCCCCAGATCACGTACCAAATCAACAACA